TTCCCATCCCCCTCCCTCCCACTCCCTTCCCCCCACGCCTTCCCTCCCCCCTCCCTCCCTTCCCACTCCCTCCCTTCCCACTCCCTCCCCCTCTCCCTTCCCACTTCCCACTCCCTTCCCACTCCTTCCTTTCCCCCCCACTCCCTCCCCTCCCCTCCCCTCCCCTCCCCTCCCCCCGACTCCCCTAAGAAAGCGAGAGAACAGGTACATAAGATATTCATCTACTTTACGACTCTACGATCTACTTCCTTCATCTACCACACTCCGTCTAAGGGAAGGGAAAGGAGGGAGGGGAGGGGGGAGGGGAGGGAGGGGGAGGGGAGGGGAGGGGAGGGGAGGGGGGAGGGGAGGGGAGGGGAGGGGGAAGGGGAGGGGAGAGGAGGGGAGGGGAGGGGGGGGAGGGGGAGGGGAAGGGGAGGGGAGGGGAAAGGGAAGGGAGGGATGGAGGGGGAGGGACAAAAACATGTCTTCCACGACTCACTCACTTGCTCTCCCTTCTCCCTCCCTCTCTCCCTCCCTCTCTCCCTCCCTCTCTCCCTCCCTCTCTCCCTCCCTCCCTCCCTCCCTCCCTCCCTCCCTCCCTCCCTCCCTCCCTCCCTCCCTCTCTCCCTCCCTCTCTCCTTCCCTCTCTCCCTCCCTCTCTCCTTCCCTCTCTCCCTCCCTCTCTCCTTCCCTCTCTCCCTCCCTCTCTCGTTCCCTCTCTCCCTCCCTCTCTCGTTCCCTCTCTCCCTCCCTTTCTCCCTCCTTCTCTTCCTCCCTCTCTCCCTCCCTCTCTCCTTCCCTCTCTCCCTCCCTCTCTCCCTCCCTCCCTCCCTCCCTCCCTCCCTCCCTCCCTCCCTCTCTCCCTCCCTCTCTCCCTCTCTCTCTCTCTCCTTCCCTCCCTCCCTTCCTCCCTCTCTCTCCATCTCTCATCTCCTCTCTCTCTATCTATCTATCTATCTATCTATCTATATATATTTATTGATCTATCTATTGATCTATCTATTGATCTATCTATTGATCTATTCATATATATATATATAATATATATATATATATTATATATATATATATATATAATATATATATATATATATATATATAAACTACAAAAGCGAAACAAACAAACAGTAACAAAACACGTCAGCTTCCTGTCTTCACTCCCTCTCAGTCCCCATTCAGAGCTTCAATCAGCCCATTATTTTTAATTAGAGTCACCCCCATTCACAAGAAAGCAAGCCACTCTTCCCTCCCCCTCCCCCCCTCCCCCCTCCCTCCCTCCCTCCCTCCCTCCCTCCTCTCCTCCCTCTCTCCCTCCCTCTCTCCTTCCCTCTCTCCCTCCCTCCCTCTCTCCTTATCTCCCTCTCCTTCCCTCCTCCTATTCTTCCTCCTTTCCTCCTTCTCTCTTTTCCCTCCCCTACCTCTCCTTCTCCCTCTCCCTCTCCCTCTCCCTCTCCCTCTCTCTCTCCCCCTCCCCCCCCTCTTTCTCCCTCTCTCTCTCTTCCCCTCCCCTTCCCCCCCCCCCCCCCCGCTCTTGACCTGCTCTGACCTGGGGATCATGTGTTGGTCCAGCGAGTGCGCGGGCGTCGGGCAGCGCGGGCGTGTGGGCGGAGGCTGGTTATGGTACGAACGTGTTAGGAAAGTTTGGGATGGGCGCGACCGTGCGAATGTGTGTTTTCTCTCTCTCTCTCTCTCTCTCTCTCTCTCTCTCTCTCTCTCTCTCTCTCTCTCTCTCTATCTATCTATCTATCTATCTATCTATCTGTCTATCTATCTCTATCTATCTATTATCTATTATGTATATATCTATATCCATTTATATCTATCTATATCTATCTATATATATTTATTGATCTATCTATTGATCTATCTATTGATCTATTAGATATATATATATATACATATATAATATATTATATATATATATATATATATATATATATAGAGAGAGAGAGAGAGAGAGAGAGAGGAGAGAGAGAGGAGAGAGAGAGAGAGTGAGAGAGAGAGAGAGAGGAGAGAGAGAGGAGAGAGAGAGAGAGCACAAAGAAGAGAAGGGAAAAGAAAAAAATATGACAACTGAAGAAGGTAAAAAACAAAAAATCAATAAGAGAAAATGCAAAACAATTACAAAAAACAAGATATATATATATATATATATATATATATATATATATATATATATATATATATATATATATATATATATATATATATATAAACTACAAAAGCGAGACAAACAAACAGTAACAAAACACGTCAGCTTCCTGTCTTCACTCCCTCTCAAGTCCCCATTCAGAGCTTCAATCAAGCCCATTATTTTTAATTAGGAGTCACCCCCCATTCACAAAGGAAAGCAACCACTCTTCCCCTCCCCCCCTCACCCCCCCTCCCCTCCCTCTCTCCTTCCCTCTCTCCCTCCCTCTCTCCCTCCCTCCCTCTCTCCCTCTCACCCCTCCCCCCCTTCCATCACCTCGCTCTATTGTCCGATTTGCACTGCCTATCTCCTATCTCTCCCTCTCATCCCCCCCTAACCCCTACCCGATCTCCTCCCCCCCTCTCTCCTTCCCTCCCTCATCACCTCTGCCTTCCCTCTGCCCCATTCCCCTCCCTTCCCCCTTATGTCCCTCCCTTCTACCCATTCCCCGTCTTCCCCCTTCCTCCCATCTACCTCCCTACTCCCCTCTTTTCTCCCTATTCCCCCCTCTCCTACTCCGCCTCCCTCCCCCCCTGTCTCCTACCCCTTACATCCTCCCTACTAACCGTTTCTGATAATTAAAAAAAAAGAATCCGCAACCCCTCGGTAATCAGCCACGGAGTTGCACATTCAATTGCTAAGCATGTAGGAACAGACGATCACATTGGGCCTCGATAATTAAGGAGAGTGACTTGCACATCGGTGTCGTAGCGGTGATTTGTAAGGACTTTGCCGGAGAAGCTTTGGACAGGGGCGCTGGCACTCTCTCTCCGCCTCTTTCCTCTCTCTCTCTCTCTCTCTCTCTCTCTCTCCTCTCTCTCCTCTCTCTCTCTCTCTCCTCTCGCTTTCCTTTCTTTTTTTTCTATTCATATCTTATTTTGTGTGTACATTTGTCTTTGTCTTTATCTTCTTTATCTATTTATCTTGCACTCATTTTCATGATTCCTCTCTCTCTCTCTCTCTCTCTCTCTCTCTCTCTCTCTCTCTCTCTCTCTCTCTCTCTCTCTCTATCTATCTATCTATCTATTATGTATATATCTATATCCATTTATATCTATCTATATCTATCTATATATATTTATTGATCTATCTATTGATCTATCTATTGATCTATCTATTGATCTATTCATATATATATATATATATATATATATATATATATATATATATATATATATATATATATATATATATATATATATATATATATATATATATGAAAACCGAAAAAATATGACAAACTGAAGAGGTAAAAACAAAAATCAATAAGAGAAAAATGCAAAACAATTACAAAAAACAAGATATATATATATATATATATATATATATATATATATATATATATATATATATATATATATATATATAAACTACAAAAGCGAACAAACAAACAGTAACAAAACACGTCAGCTTCCTGTCTTCACTCCCTCTCAAGTCCCCATTCAGAGCTTCAATCAGCCCATTATTTTTAATTAGAGTCACCCCCATTCACAAAGGAAAGCAACCACTCTTCCCCTCCCCCCTCCCCCCCTCCCCTCCTCTTACACCTCTCTCCACCCCCTTCCCCCTTCCTCTCTCCCTCTCACCCCTCCCCCCCCTTCCATCACCTCGCTCTATTGTCCGATTTGCACTGCCTGTCTCCTATCTCCTCCCTCTCCCCCCCTACCCCTACCCCTATTTCCTCCCCCCCCCTCTCCTTCCCCTCCCTCTCAACCTCTGCCTTCCCTCTACCCCTCTCCCCTCCCTTCCCCCTTATTCCCTCCCTTCTCCTTCCCATTCCCCTTCTTCCCCCTTCCCTCCCCATCTACCTCCTCCCTCTTTCCCTATTCCCCCCCCTCTTACCCGCCTACCCCCCCCCCCTGTCTCCTACCCCTTAAATCCTCCCCCTACCGTTGTCTGATAATTAAAAAAAAAAGAATCCGGCAACCCCTCGGTATCATCCACGGGAGTTGCACGATCAATTGCAAGCATGTAGGAACAGACGATGCACATTGGGCTCGATAATTAAGGAGAGTGACTTGCAACACGGTGTCGGTAGCGGTGAGTTGAAGACTTTGCCGGAGAAAGCTTGGACAGGGGCGCTGGGCACTCTCTCTCCGCCTCTTTCTCTCTCTCTCTCTCTCTCTCTCTCTCTCTCTCTCTCTCTCTCTCTCTCTCTCTCTCTCTCTCTCTCTCTCTCTCTCTCTCTCTCTCTCTCTCTCTCTCTCTCGCTTTCTCGCTCTCTTTCTTTTTTTTCTCTCTTTCTCTTTATTTTTTTCTCATTCTTTTTCTTTGTCTTTGTCTTTGTCTTTATCTTTCTTTATCTATTTATCTTGCTCTCATTTCATAGATTCTCTCTCTCTCTCTCTCTCTCTCTCTCTCTCTCTCTCTCTCTCTCTCTCTCTCTCTCTCTCTCTCTCTCTCTCTCTCTCTCTCTCTTTATCTCTATTCTGATATTTCGTTTTCTATATCTTCTCTTCCTCTTCCTTCTTCTCACGTCCAGTCTCTTCCCCTCTATCTCCCTTTTCTTCCCTCTTTCCTTCTTCCCTCCTTACCCCCCCGTCCCTCTCCCTATCCCCCTCCTCCCTCCCCCCTCACTCTCTCCTCTTTCCCCCCAGTGACCAAGTGCCTCGGGGGGAGGGAGGGGGGGTTGGGGGGAGAGGTCAGAGGTGGGGTCAGAGGGGTGGAGTCCACAACGGCCTCGCACCTGGGAGCGGTCCGGCAAAAATCCTCCGTCGATGAGGTGATTGGTCAAGAGGTCAAGTAGTGGGCGGGGCTCTGCGAGAGTGGGCGGAGCTCGGAGACGCGTGCGTGTGAAGCATAGGCGTCGGAGATAAATGGGAATCAT